CTGGGCTACATAGTGAGTTCCAGGTCAGTCTCAACTACATAGTGAGACCCTGTCTCAAAAAAAAAAAAATGCACATGATGACCTTTTGCCTTGTTTTCCTCAGTGAGACACAGAGTCGCCAAGTGCCCATTTGCCTCTCACTTTCTCTGGCGCTGTCTTTATGGAGCTCAATATACTGACAAAAAGAATTTTTTTTTTTTGAGATAGGTACTAAATTGCCCAGGCTGGAGATGAACTCGCAGTCCTCCTGCCTCAGCCTCTAAGAAGTGCTGGGACTACATATGTGGGGCCACTGTGCTCAGCTCCCAGCTCCCAGCCTGTTTTCCTCATCTGCTGCGCTCTGGATATCTTTCCAACTTTTAAGTTCTGGAACAACAGAGTGTGTTACCCACTCTAAAACTTCACTTTGCACAGAGAAAGAAAATGGCAAACCGTAGACTGTGGGGAACGTAACAGGCGAGACAACTGATTTTCATGCAAACCAAACCACAGGAAACAACACAAGAAAGAGAGTTGGGGTAGGGCAGGTGAGCCGAGATGAAAAGGCACACAGGTGACGCATTCAGCACTCCCAGGACGTGGACTTTGAGCCCAACCCCCAGCACAGCCCAAAAAGCTATACACGGTATTTGTGACAACCCAGAAGATGCAGTGGTATTTAGGAACCACGGTTAAAGTGTCCAGGTGCAACAAAGTTGTGATCATGTGTAAAATAGAAAGTTGGGGCCTGAGGTGCAGCTCAGCGGTGAGCTCTTGCCCAGCAATACACAGCCCTGGGTTCCATCCCTAGCAACCACATAAAAAAAAAAAAAAAACAATAAAAAATCAATCAATAGAAGGTGAATGTATGCTGGACATGGTAGCACACGCCTGTAATCTCAGCACTTAAGAGACTGAGGCAGGAGGATCACTAGGCGTTTGAGGTCAGCCTGGACCACGTGGTGAGTTCAAGGCCAGCTTGGACTACACGGTGAGATCTTGTCTCAAAAAAAAAAAAAAATTGGATGTGATGCCACCTGTCTATGATCCCAGCAACAAAGAGGCTGAGGCAGGAGGACTGCCATGAGTTTGAGGCCAGGCTGTGTTACATAGTGAGTTCAAGCCTACCCTGAAAATGTAGTGAGACCCCGTCTCCAACCCTCTCACCCTATAAAAAGGTAGAGCCCAAATCTTAAATACCTATCAAGGGCCAGTATTTAGCTCGGTGGTACTGCTGCCTGATTCAAATGCCAATCAAAGGAGACAGAAAAATGGCTTCAAGGCTGGGGATGTAGCTCAGTAGCACCACGTCTGCCTTGTTTGCAAGCATCCTGAGTTCAATCCCTGGTACCCACCCCCTGAAAAAAGAAAAATGTCTAACCAATGTGGTCTGTTCACATCATAGAACATTACTTAGCCATGAAAAAGAAGCTGACTCTGACACTTCATTACATGGGTGTAATTATTGCACTGGTGATATTATTACCTATTATCACACACGTGGACCTCAAGGCCACGCTGCTCGAAGAAGTGAGCCAGACACAGAGGACACGCAGCGCAGGGTCCCACTCCCAGAAGGCCCCAGCGTGGTCAGGTCCACAGAGACAGGAAGGAAGACGGTGGTGCCAGTCTGGGGAGGGGATGGGAGTCCTTGTTTCCTGGGGGCACAGGCTCAGTTTGAGGAGACGGAAACTTCTGGAGGTAGATACCAGGGATGGTACACAGCCATGTGATGCACTTAACCACACTCAGCTGGGTACTCAAAATGGCTACATACACAGAGATTCAATTTCTACTAATAAATTATTTTATTTTTTCGAGATGGGTTCTAGCTATGTAGTCCAGGCTGGGCTCAAACTTGCAACCCTCCTGCTTCAGTTTTTCAGAGTGCTGGGATTACGGATGTGCGCCATCCTGCTCTGCTTCTCTCTATGATTTTTTCTTCCAGTATCAGGAATCAAACTCAGGACCTTTTGCTTTTGCGGCAGGTGCAGTGTCACTGAGCTAAATCTCTGGCCTATTCCCTATGATTTTTTCCCCCATTAAGTTTATTGGTACATTTAAAGCAAATAATACAGTTACATTTATCATTGGGATCTTTTACCTTTACATAATATGTCTTGGCTCTTTTTTGCCCATACCCCTGCCCTCCCTTCCCCCCCACCCATGATTTTTTTTTTTTTAAAGCTTTTTTTGTGGCTGGGAATTTAGCTCAGTGGTTCTGCCACCTGCCTTGCAAATGCAAGGTCCTGAGTTCAATGCC